CGAGGAGATCTTATGATAGAGCTCGGCGCAGGCATCTACGTTCTCCTCAAAAGGAGTCTCCTCGTCGTAGTCAAAACAAACTCGGACTCTCTTAGCCGGCCCGTGCTCTTGAGAGCCCTCGACATGGTCTCTGGTTTGCCTTTTTCGGGAGTGTGAAGCTACAGCTCGATCTTGCGAGAGCGCGAGGCCCGACGCCACAGCTGCCGGTGGATCGAGCTCGGCGGGAGTATCTTGCACCCGAGAAGAGTCCTCTGCTTTCTTACTCTTCTTCGAAGACTTCTTCTTCTTCGTCTTCCTCTGATCAACCTGATCAGGTGAGCTCGCAGCAGGTGGCAACTCTTCTGGCTGCACTTCGGTCTGTTCAGCAGCAAGGACTGGGGTCGGCTCAGCCACCTCCGTTTCCTCTTCACCGAAAAGAGTTGGGATTTCGTCAATGGAAAGCATCCTGGCAGCTCGGGAGCGTTGAGTTTGCGACTTCAGTGATTGGCGTTTGGGAGCGGTTCGAGGCTTGCTAGCTCGAGTTCTCGGCTTGCGTGGTTTTGGTTCTCGAACGGAGCCTGAAATGAAAATGTGTTTAAGGAGGAGTTCGGAGTAAATTCAGAATAAAGTGAGTAAAGATAGAATTCGATGAACATACCCGCTTTCTTAGCTCGACGTTGTAGGATTTCTTCCCAAACCTCCGGCCAACGACGTCTACCGGCTTCGCTGAATGCTTCTTCGAACTCAGAGGTGAGTCCGGAGTTGAGAAGGAGACTCGGAAGATGACGACCTATGAAAATAAAACGAAGTCAAGTTAGCAAGCAGTAAAAGTCAAAAGTTATCTAAGTGTGAAATCATCTAATCTACCAATCGGAATCTTCCAATTCGACTGAATTGCGATGTCAGAATTGTTGACGGTGAGATCGTTCATTTCAATATAGAAGTACTGGGACTCCCAATCGTTGAATTTACTGGGCTTAGGTCCCATAACTAAATTCTTCTTCGGCTTGGCATTGGCGGCGAAGAACCACTCCTTGGACTTATGGATATTGACCGAGAAGAGGTCTTCGAAAATTCGACTCGATGGGACTTCGCCAAGCTCGTCGCATAAGGAAACGAACCCAACGTAGTTCGTTATTGAGGCCGGCATCACCTGTGTGAGAGCTACGCCGCGCCGATTGCAGTATCCCAGTAGGCGAGAGGGAATGGGGAAAGAAAGCCCGCACTGGATGAAGTACGTCAGGTAGACGCAAAGGAAGCCTTCGGGAGCGTCCCACGGCCGATCTCTAGCCTCCGGAATGATGAAAATAATCTCGTCCGCAAGACCGTTTGCCTCGAGCACGGCTCGAACGGCACCAGGAGAAAGGGAACAAGAGGGCACGTTGTCGGGACGAACTACTTTCTGCCTCGGAAGTGGTGGCGAAGCATGAATAACCGCTTCAATGTTGTCGACTTCAGTATCAGCAACGTTCTCTCCCTGAAATTCTTCCTCGATCTTCTCGATCTCGGGGGTGTTAGCATCAACGTTCGGTCCAGCCCGAGCCTCCGTTTCGCGAGCCTCTGCAGTCAGATCTTCGGTAGCTTCAATTCTGACTCTAGCACGGCTGCTGCTAGCTTCCGCAGATTTAGAGTTCTTACGAACTAATTGGGGAAGATTGCTTTCTTCCCGTGATGAACTTGACTGCTGAGGGTTTGAAGAAGAGGAGCTCGGCTCCGAGGACTCACGGTGGTCTTCCGGAAGAATTTTATTCGAGGAAGAATTAATCGAAGAGCTGGAAGACATTTTAGGGTTTGGGAAAGAAGATTTGAAGGAAATAAAGAACAGTTTGAAGATCAACCGGAAAGTTTGAAGGTTGCTCGGAAAAATCAAGAGTTCGCGGCGGCGAGAGTTGAAGAAACGAGAGAAAACGAAGAACAAAAACTAGAGAGAGAAATGAAATCTAGAGAGAAGGGAGAGCGGCGTACCTTATATATGCTTGAGGCGAGAATAATGAATGCGAGAAGAAGTTTGCCCTTTATACACAGTGGGAATCGTGGGTTCCTCGATTTTCGTGAAAAATCCCGTAATTCACGCGCCTCATTGAAGATAGGCGCGAAACGTCCGGAAATGCGAAACGACAGCAATTACCGAGCTCAGTTTGTGATCCAATAACCGAAGAATTGAGTTCAACTGAAAGTCACCTCCTTTCACCGAACTGAGGGGGGGCTAACTGTTGGAGGTGAAAACCGCACCCTGGTTTTCTCCGGTACAAACTGAGATCGGCGAACCGTAAGTCCGGTTTACGAAGGGATGTACCGAGAGAAGATGGGCCGAGCGAAGATGGGCCGAAGATAGCCCATTAGGCCGAGGTCGGTGGGAAACCTCCCAAAGGAATGGAAGGTTTCCTTGAGCTCGGCCAAAACAGGAAAGTTTCCTAACGGAAAAAGGAAACTTCGAAGAGAAAAGGAAAGGAACCGAGAGAAAAAGAAACTCCTCTCGGTCCCATATCGTCTAAGGCGTGCTTAAAGACCGACTTAGGAGATATATATAAAGGGAGACGAATCGACACAGAAAGGAAAAAGGGGGAATTCATCGAAGACTTAGAGATTGAGAACTCATTACGATAGTTTCTTAATCGCTTTAAGTCTTAGTTCGTTATTACCTATCGAAACAACCGAACTCAGTTGTATTTCACTTTGATTCAATCTAATAAAACCAAGCTTCCGATCTAAATTACTGTTTTGTCCCTTGTCGATACTCTCTTAATCACTAACTTCATAACTCTTTCGGTATGTCTCCAGGATGCAATTTTCAGTGTCGTGGCTTCCATTCTGCATCTAGGGAATATTAAATTTACTAAAGGAACAGAGATTGATTCATCAATCCCCAGAGATGAAAGGTCTTGGTTTCATTTGAGAACCGCCGCTGAGCTTCTCATGTAAATGTCTCGACTCATAGACTGAAGTGGGTTGCTTCTGTATGTGACAGAAGTTGGTTACCTTATTCACATAATCTTTTTTTTTTTCCAGGAGTCATGAAAAGTCACTTGAGGATTCTCTATGCAAGCATATCATGGTAACCCGTGATGAAACCATCTCAAAAACTCCTCATCCAGAAACCGTTACTCTTAGCAGAGATGCTTTGGCCAAAATCATGTACTCAAGGTTGTTTGACTGGTGAGTTTCTCTGTTCTTTCTTGATGAAGATATTCTCAGTAGCTACATCTCTTCATATGAAGTGGTAAGTTTGAATTGTATTTAAAAACACTGTCTAAATTATTCAAATATTAGAATCTCTAAAAGCAGTTTGAGTTGTTCTTACTATTGAATGATGTGTAATATATACAAAAAAATGCAGGTTATTTGTCATGATGTCACTCAGACATCTCAGAATTAAGTGTTCAATATCTCTTTTGGTTTAGGAACTATACCAAGAACTCCAAGGATTGGATCGATTGGAGAAAGACTAAGAGCAAAAGTGCCGAGAAGAAGAGAACTCAGCTAGCAGCAGTAAAGGTAAACTATCAAAGATGGACTGATTGTGGTAATAGTATTAGGTAGACACTTTGTAATGTCTTTAGAAACTATTGGGAGAGAATGAACTTACTTACGTAAAGAGATGTTTAAATATATAATTATATTTGGATGGTAATCTTCTCAGCGTATGTCATTTTTGAATACATGTTGCCTCTGCAGCATTTACAAAAATACTACAAGCAATCAGCAAAAGTTTTAGAGCAGATTTTCAATCATAAAACATAAAAGAAAAAGATTACTTAAAGGGATTTTAAGTTTAGAGATTATAAAAACATATCAAACTAACACAAAATTTCCCAATTAAGAAACAATTTAATTGAGAGATATATATGGTTTGCTTCCTATGTTTTGTTTCCTTGATCTACATTCTTGAAACGACAAGTATTTATGTAGGAGAATTATATTTCACCACAGACAAAGTATTTTCTGGAAAGATAGTAGCAAAGCCAAGGAAATAGCCGATGGAAGAAATAAAAAAATTAACAAAGTAATAGAAGAGACTAACTGGAAAATATTCGAAAGAATCTGAAATTATATATTTTACCAAGACAAGAATTAATATGGGTTTAGGTTCTAAAAAAACACCACTTATACGAATTTTTGTCATTCAAATTCAAATTTATTTAAAATCTATAAGACTATTAAAAACATACTAAATTAAATCATCAAGTATACGATAAATCAGTTCAAGATAACTTTTTTATATTATAAAAGTATTAAAAATACAATACACTTACTTGCAATTTAAAAAAAAAAAGAAGAAAAGAGACTAACTCAAAACCAAATATCATGCAGGAAATCTGAAATCATATATAACACATCATTATATACAAATTCAAATTTATTTAAAATCTATTGACTATTAAAAACATACGAAGTTAAATCATCAAAATTTCGATAAGTCGGTTCAAAATAACATTTTTATATTATAAAAGTATAAGAGAATATAACCTACTTGCAATCAAATAGGAACGAAAACAAAGAATAAAAGAGACGAACTCAAAAACCAAATATCACGAAATCTAAAATTATATATAACACATTATTATATAGACGATTTGATCAAAAATCATAGTACTTATAAAAATACCATATGATTGCAAATAATAACTTATTTAAAGATAATATTAAAAATAAATTGTAAAATAATTAAAAAATAAAATAAAAACTAAAAAAATTAACGTAAACTACCTGCACGTTGCGCGGGTACTCACCTAGTAATAATAATAGAAGATTGTCTACTGAACATAAAACAGCACGTAGCTTTTGGTTTTGTTTGAACTTTAAAGCCAAATCCTTCATTACTCAAAAATATATGTTCCAGTAGAACAAAATAGAGATGCTTATTGGTTTGGTTTACATATTAGAATTTCGGAATTACTAATTTGGGAGTTACTAATTTTATAAAAGGACTTGTGATTGGGCTAATATGGGCCGCGAGCTAGTCGTATTTTGAAAAACATAATTCTTGAACCCAAATCTCCTCCCATATCTCGAACAGAACCAAGAACCTCGAAAGCTCTTCAAAATGTTGAGAGCTTCAAATTTTCTGCGTAGAGTCTCAGCTAAAAACCCTAAACCCTTAATTCCTCAAAGCTTCCGTCTTTATCTTCCCCAGAGAAACAGAGAAATTAGTGGTTTCACTGTTGATACGTCTCGATCGTACGAATCTAGACCTGCTTCGAGTCCTAGCTTATCGATATGGAGACGGAAGAAAGAAATGAGCAAAGAAGGTTTAATCGCTGCCAAGGAGCTCAAGCGTCTCCAAACCAAATCTGTCCGACTCGATCGATACATTTGTTCTCATGTCTCTCGCCTCCTTAAATCCGATCTCGTTTCTGTTCTTGCCGAATTTCAGAGACAAGACCAAGTTTTCCTCTCTATGAAGGTAAAATTAACATTTCTCAAAAGTAGTCAATTTCAATTGCATTTTCAAATTAATTTTGATTTTGGGTTTTCATCATGATACATCAAAATTTGAACTTTTACCTCAATTGTATTGGTTTCAATTTCAATTGCGTTTTTTAAAAAACAAAAACAAAAAAAAAAAGCTGTTCTTTTTATGTGTGTGTTGAACGTGAGACATCAAAATTACTATCAATTGAAAGTGTTGGGATATGGAGTTTGTTGATGGTGTTAATGTTAATCTTTCTGCGACATTTGATTTTTGATGTTTAGTTTGGTTTATATGTTTTCTTTTCAGCTCTATGAAGTTGTGAGAAGAGAAATATGGTATCGACCGGATATGTTCTTTTACAGAGACATGCTTATGATGCTTGCAAGAAACAGGAAAGTGGATGAGACCAAGAAAGTATGGGAAGATTTAAAGAGAGAAGGACTTTTGTTTGACCAACATACTTTTGGAGACCTTGTTCGAGCGTTCTTGGATAATGAACTTCAAGTGGAAGCAATGAGATTGTACCAAGAGATGAGAGATTCTCCTGACCGGCCTTTGTCTCTACCCTTTCGGGTTATTCTCAAAGGACTCGTTAGTTATCCTGAGTTGAGAGAGAAAGTGAAAGAGGATTTCTTGGAGCTTTTCCCTGGGATGGTTGTGTATGATCCTCCTGAGGATTTGTGCGATGAAAGTGACGAAGATGCTAGGACAGATAGTGATCTTGAATAGAGAGTGTGACACAATGACGACACGAACACAATCCAGTACTAGGCTACATATCCTGGTCTTGCTTAGTTTGATAAGTGCTCGATTTGTACTTCTGTTTCTAAAAGTAAGATCCATCATTTTCTTGGTGCACTTGTGCTTTGGCTCAAGGAGTGTTTGGTTAGATAGATTCATCATTCATCCACCATAACCAGAGAGAATTGTTTGGTGTTGGTAAAAATGTGTTTCTTAGAGAGGCCAATAGAACCCGATTAGGCCGGTTTATATGTAACTTGTCTTGTGTTTCTTCTTGCTTATAGACCAGTTCACTAACTTAAGGATTGTGTTCATCTCGGTTTTGTACTGAATTGACTATCAGTTGTGGTTTTTTTTTTTGTCCCTGATCCAATTTCGGCACCATTCTTTCCTCAATTTTCTTCTTTTTCAGAGCATCCTAAAATGCAATAACAAACGAATTATTAAATAATTATGGGTGTTTTATAAATAAATTTTTAGAAATCGCATTGAAAAAATTAGTTTAGGATAGACTGAGATTATTATTACACTGCTTGTCAACTGTTCTAAGAAAATTGATCGGTATAAGTGTAACTCATTAGGCAAGGGTATAGTTCTTTTTCGGTTCAAATTGGTCCAGATTATTCAGTTCCTCGGTTTTTCAGTTTGGACAATATGCCGCCAGATCAAACCGACCACAATTTTCCTTCGGTTTGGTAATATCGACAAAATATTTGCCGATCAATTTCCTTTTTGTTTTGCATTAAAGCTTTGGTTTTGTAGATTTTATAGGAATTTTGGTACTTTTTTGTAAGATTTGGTACAATTGGGTTGATATGTATATTTCAGTTGATTTTGGTTCGTTTGGATTTTGGTTTATAAGTTAAACATTGGTACAATTTTTAGTCTACTGGAAAAAAATTAAAGAACAGATACGAACAAATCGAACCGAAAACCAAAAACCAAATTGAAAAGACACCAAACGATTTGCAGTCAAAACTGAAACCAACCAAATTGACTCATTTCGGTTCGGTTTGGTTCGACTCGACCAATTCGGTTGGTCCAAATTTTCTAGCCTATAACTCATGATAGAGTAGTAGACTAGTAGTTGTATGCTACTGAATTTTTAAACAGTCATTTATTATATAGCTTAAGTAATTATGTAGTATGAAATTGTGAATGAATAGCGAAACAATCTGGGAGATACAAAAAAAACGACAATGGATTTCAAGAGATGGAAACTCTGTAGCAGATATTCTTGCCAAGGCTGATATCATGGATAATCAAGCTTTTGTTTATCATTTTTATGTTCCGGATGTAATTACTAACTAGATTCTAATCCGTGTGTCTGCACAGAAATATTTTGTTTTTTTTTTTCTAATTTGATTTGTATTTATTTTTTATTTACATATAATTTGTTTTGTTATTTATTTATTTTTTAAATCAAAAAATTTGTTATTATGTTTGATTTTAAATAGTATAGATTTGTATATTAGTAGAATAGTATTAATTAATTAAATATATATATATATATATATCGATCTAATGATAATTATAAACTTTATTATTATGTGAATTAAAATTTATATATAAACAATCTATATCTATTTTAATTTTTTCTAGTATTACTATAACCACGATCATAAAAACATAATTCTAATCAGGTCATTCTATTAAACGAAAAATAAATGTTATTATAAAAACACATTTATAACTCGCTCCTTCTATCAATCTGAAAAGGTTTATAGTTAGAAAATTATAATTCTAACCTGTTATTTATATTACTATATAATATATATATTTATTAATTTGAAATCATTTTTATTTTAATATCTTGCATATTTTTATAACTTAACCCGTATAAACCACAATTATAAAAAAACCTAACCCGTTCCATCAAATTATCAAATAATATTAATATTTATCAGTTTTTAATATATAAAATTTTAGTCTTATTGAATATGATTTAAAAGATATAATAAAATATTCATTAATCATATGTATTATTCTGAAAATATTATTTGAATTTTAAATGTTAAATTAAATGAACCTATATTTAAGGAATTGTAAAGTAATTTAAATTTAATTACAAATAATTAAATAGTTTGAATTTTAAATTAGATATAACCTATATTTAAAGAAATCTTTAAATATCTAAACTACTATCTAATTTTCGAAATTAAATTTATATACAAAAGAAAATATGTTTTTAAAAAATATAGAATAATTTTAAAAATATTTCTAAACAATGTTTTTTTAAAAAAAATTAGGAGTGTTTGGAAGCAATTACTAAAAGTGATTCTATTTTAATAGAATAGATGCTCTGCATTGTAACTTGTAATTTCATCTTAATATAATTCAGAAGAAAAAGGAAAAAAAATACAGGAATGGCTATAAAAGCAACTAGTAGCTAATCACCAAAATTGAAACTCTGATCCAGAAAAACTTCCACAACATTCCGCTATGTCTTTTTTTTTAGGCTTAAGTCTATAATTTTTTTTTTTTTTTTGAACATCAGATAGATTAAAAGCCCAGAACCGGGTTTATTACATAGGGGTAGACTGGCCTCGTAGGGCCCATTTAGCTAGCTGATCGGCAATAATGTTTTCGGATCGAGGAATATGAAGGAAAAAAAAATGTGAATGTATTTGCCAATTGCCAAGATCAGAAACGAGTATTCGATATAAAAAAATATGTGACTTCACATAATTAGCGAACTAGAGACATCTAACTTTTTTTTTGTTTTTTTCATCACTGTTAAATTTATTTCCCAAGACATATAGAAACGCCCTTTACAAAACGTAAAACATAAATCTTTTCATTGTTTCAAAATTAAGTACACATTCAGAATCTAAACCGGGTTGACTCAAAACGGTTAGCAAATCCAAAAGTTAAATTTGATTCGGGACGAATATATCAAAAGAGCTTTTACTTCAGCAATTTAGTTGACCACAGAACAATACAAAAGGTTACACAACACATATCATTCATAATTGAGGAAAACATCAAACAGTTGTTCATCAATCGGAACATGTAACGTTCCTAAGTATACCGAGAAACCATAGATTACACATATTATAAGCTGTTTAATGATTATAAATATAATGAAATAAAAGGATCGATCAAAGCATGGTGGAGGAGATGTCCATGGGGAAAGGATTGCCCAAGACATTGTCCATGAAGTAATGGTGAGGATGTGTTGCGTCCATTACTACAAACTGCATATCCTCTGATGGCTTCCAATGCCTTTTCCTCTGGTTTATGAACCAATTGTTTATCTGTTTCTGGTCCAGCCCGGTTGATTCTGCCAGCGCCAGCTTCTGTTGCTCCTGTCATTTCATTTACACACCCCCAAGAAAATAAGTCAATCATCAAGTTATCTTATCAACACTCTCATTTCTCATTGTGGATCTAGGTCTAGCCCTTGATCCGGTTGATTACGCTAGCAACACTACTGATATGATACACCGAACCGAGATCTTAGGATCGCTCTAAAGCGAAAGAGTAATAATGATACAGCGTCGCTATAAGGACACAAGTCTCTATTTGATTAGGGAAAATCATCTCATGCACACTACTTTCCAAAGTTATGACTTGAACTTAAATTATATGCCTCTAAATTAATACTAAGCTATGGTAAAGCCATAAGATGAAATTGATAGTTTTCTTATCTAGATAGACATGATATTGAAGCAAGAATCAGTTCATTCATATTGACATGTGCTAAAAGACCGAAAACAACATACGTCGACCCGATAGGTTCAGTTGATTCATCTTGATAAGGATTTGTGATCATGCAATTGCAGCAAGAAATAAGGAATACAAGAGGTAAAAGACCAAAACCCACATAGAGTAACCCAACATGTTGAATTCGTTTAATCTTGAGTAATATTTATGCAATGCATTTATAACAAAAACGGGTATGGATACTAGTGTAGGAGAAGAAGTTACCGAAGGGTAAGGCCATTTGTAGTGTCGGCTCCACCAATCAAGCAGTTGTTGACGAGCTTCTTTAGGGAGCTTTCCTTTCTTCCTTTTTTTCATAAATTCTTGCTTGAGGCTGCCTAAGTAACCACTGTACTTGCGCAAAAGCTGTCCTTTAAGCTCCCTATCTTCGGCCTGTGGATCTATAAATTCATTGTTCATATCGACTTCTTCCTCAGATGACCCATTGTTGTTCCTATCAATAGCTGTCTCTCCATAACCTACGTTGATTAATCATGTGTAAAGAGGACACCGTTGTCACCAAAACACTAAATTGGTCTTAAAATTTCTAAGGGTAGGATATTTAAGTACACAAAGATAGAATATAGTTATGCGAATTAATGAGCTATTGAACCAAATTATTCAAAGAAACAAGTTAAAGTGAGTAGGTGTGTGTCTATAGAAACTCTACTACACTCGTGATCGTGAAGACAATAGAAGAGTGAAATGACATTGTGTAGATATATGTGAATGTGATTATACGTACAGAAACATGTGTATGTCTAAATTGAGCAATAGATCTAAGGACGAACAGACTCTAGATCCAGATATTCTTTTTGATGCAATAAATTTAATAGATCCAAACAAACGGAGAAGAAAGAGACAAGAACAGTGACTGTTGTTGTACTAAGCAAAATAAATTCAATTCGGAAAAGGAAACTTCAAATATTGTTTTTAAGCTTTTAATTCAATAAAATATCTACATACACACTTATGAATAGATAAGATTATACACGTAAACCTAGGAAGCTACATATAACAATCTGACACTAACCCTAGCAACAAGCATCAAAGGGGCATTAACCCAAGAAAAAGGAGAGATCTTTCTTAAAACCCACAAAGGGAGAAACAACACTTTTCTCATCTTACGTTTAATTTGACGCCATAATTAAGAAGAAACACAAATTTTCTTAAGAAAAAAGAGATTTAGAGAGAGAGAGAGAGTAGAGTTACCGGAGAAAGAGGAAGGAGAGGAGAGAGAGAGGGATTTGAATTGACACTCGACGCGTTGAAGGAAGACCATAGCTTCCTTGAAGGGTTTAGAGAGCTCTTGCTCGTACTTAACGAGCATTTCACAGTAAGCTTCCATGAATTGATCAAGCCCTGGATCTTCACCTAAACACCCTGCTGGTCCCATCGACGCTGCAGCCGCCGCCGCAGACGAGCAAGCCTCCTCCAGCCTTGCCGCCACTTCCGCTGGAGCTCCCACCTTAATAAGCAACAATTAAAAGAAGAGACAAAGAAAAAGGTTAATATATATCTTAATCTTTAAACCCACAAACAATATTTTGGAGCATTTCTTGAAAATAGGGTTCTTGAAATTAGCTAATTTTTTTGTTTCCAAGTTTCTTAAAACTTTCTCAAGTAAGGGAAAATAGTTTCTTCTGTTTTTTTAGATATTTTTTCGGATTAAGTAAGTAGGTAATAAACAAAAGGGGACATCAAAATCAAACTAAACATCAAAGTAATTAAAGGGCTATGTCAAAAGTAAAGGAAGGGTAAAGTTTCGTAACTAGGGTTTCTAGAATCTTCTTCTTCTTTGAGTAGAAAATCAAACAATGATCATCAGTTAAGAAGAGACTTTCAAAGTACTATTCTTTAAAGGATTTTCTGTTATCATCACCTTCTGGCAATTGACATAAGCGACCAAGAGGCGGTGGTAGTGAGGATGAGCCATGATTTTGGCCTTGACAGAGGCTGAAGAAGAGGAAGAAGAACAAGGGTTGAGTCCTCCATTAACGAGGTCGGTTTGATGATGGATCTCCATGAGAGAATAAGCAGGAGCAAAGGAAGAAGGAGAGGAAGAAGAGGCAACTTTGTTCTTAGTTTCTCGAGAAGAAGGAGCTAGTGATTGAAGAAAAAGGGAACCACTTTGTTGGTGGTGTGACTGATATGCATAACCATCATGTTGTTGTTGTTGATGTTGATCATGACCATGATGTTGTTGATGTTGATGTGATGTCATGATGGGCATCATCATCATCATCATAGGACACATCGGACCATCACTATTATCCCCGGCAAAAGCCATTGGACAAGAAGTGCTGTTGGAACCACTCTCCATCTTCTCTTTCTCTCACCAGTATTATTATTCACTTTGGCTTTGCTATATAGCTACTAGAAAAAAAGAAACTAAAAGAAATAATAACAGAAAGAAAAATAATACTAATAATAATGAAAAGAAGAAAAATGAAGAAGAGCATCGTAAATACAGCTAGCATTTATCATCAATATTATGAAACACAATAAAGTACTACAAATTTATTGGGAAACCCTAAAAGAGTAAATATAAATGTGTGTGTATATGTATATATATGCAAGGTTTAATTTAATTATTTGTAAATGCAAAAGTGGTCTCCCGGGATTTATGCTTCAACAATCAGCTTCCTTTTTCACATTGAAAAAATTCTAAATAGTGATAGTTATGGGGGAGAGGGAAGCGGCAGACGAGAGACCAGAAAGATAAATCTAAGAAGTTTTTCTTATAAAATAATTGGTGGAAATTTTTTTAAAAAAAAGTGGAAAATCAGACATAGACAGAGATTGTGTGATCTGTGGGTTCTTAACTCTTTTGTGTTCGTCTGCTGAAATATGATTTCTCATTTATGACTTTTTGGAATTTTTTTTTCCCCCTCATCTTCTATGTGGTAGTAAACCGGATCGAAATCGAAATTTAATATGTCACAATTGCTTGAAATGGAGAAAACCGAAATGTTCTCGAGAAAGCCCAGGCGCAACAGGATGCATTTGGTTTGGTGTCCCATTAACCATCGATTTCAGGTCTTGGTTTATGATGCCATATATACGTAAAATGTATAGATATACATTTGTGTCGTTATATATCAGGTTTGTATTTTTCTATCAATATATGTGTATCATGTGAAGATATTGTTAGTACCGTTGTACAAACAAACTTTCTTAGATTCTTAATAATTAACTGACAGATTTTCATAATTTAAGTGTGGCTTTAAGTAACCTAAGAAATTGGATTCTCTTTTTCAAAAGGAAAGGATAGCATTCTTATTAACATTTCATAATTTTTGTTATTATGATAGTGATTTAACATCTGACTGCTGATCAAAAGTTGTAGTACTATAGTAATTGTTGTTAGAGAGGTTAAGAAGACAAATGTTATTATGAGCGATAATTAAAATTAGAAATGTAATAAAATTACGTAAGACATTATAGTGAATACTCAACTTCAATAAATTGTTCAGCAAAAAAAAAAATCCAAGCCATATTTTTTAAGAGCTATTTGTCTGTTCTACCATTATCATGTTCTCAAATCTTAACCTTTTCGTCGATTGATTGTAAATATTTGGTGATTGACCTCTTGCCACTACAAAAATGAGCAATCACATTCACACCACTAAGCAAAGCTTCTGAGGCCTTTTAGAATAATACATTTCATCGTCCTCTGTTATTGACTCCAAGATGGGACACTTGTTTATAAAATAGCATACCGAGTTTAGAAGAATCCGTTTACATTTGACAATAAAATCTATCAATTGAGTCAATGTGAAAAGTAAAGTCCAGTTACTTTTTAGACGCTGCGGCGATCTATGGTAGTTCGGGTAATTTAGGTTCATTTTTGATTTTCTGCCGCCTAGGAAAATTAATTTCCAGCTGCCTAACCTTTTTTAAAAAAAATAGTTGGGTCTAAAAATTGACAATTCCAATTTATGTTCATAATTTTAATGAAATTATAATGTATTAATTCAAATATACCGTTTTATATGTTTTATATGTTTTATGCAGTTTTTACAATATTATATAAAAATTATAATGGATTAACATGTTACACAAATATTAAAAAGTTCAAAATTAATACATGTTTAATTTTGATTATTTTGTTAGGCGGTAATTCTATTTCAACTGCCGACCAACAACTAACAAAATTTTGAACTAAGGTTTTTATAGTGTATATTTGTCAGCAAAATAGGCGTTGCTAAACTAGCAGTACATGTATAACAAATGTTGTTTGTGTGGAATTATCAAAACTAGAGAATTGACATCAAAATTCAGTTTAATATTTTTTTTCTTAAGTATCTCCTGACTTGTCCTTCTTAAAAACTTAGCATGTTTTAAATGTTCTGCTTCTTAGGATCCATTAATCAATTAGTTTGATCGGAAATACTTTTTTTTTAAGCATGTCTTTTTCTCTTGGAGCATATTGTAGAATCACATTTACATTCGGGATGCTGCAAAATAATAATATAGTCAAAAAGGGATCGATATGTATTATTCTTTACATGTGTGGTTGGTTATGTAATTATGTTAGCGCTTCAGCATTGTGATCTTTGATTCTTTTTTTACTCTTTTACTTTTTGTTTTAAAACCCACATATTATACCCTTTAAAAAAATCAATTTTTTATATGGTTCCAATCAAATTTACGTGTAAAAGCTGGACTTCCATCTATTGAATATATAAGCAAAGAAAAAATAATATAGACCAAAAGTACTCATTTTTGGAACACAATTGGATTGCATGGAAACTTAGTTATCCTTGTTCTCTGTTCAAACTTCCGATCTCCCAACACCCGCCTTTTTTACTTAATTTTGGCTATTTACAATTATATAATCCTTATTTATTTTTTGTTACGTATCCATAATTCTATATACATATTTGCATTTATCCTTTTTTCATTTTACATATTCTCGAATTTTATGTATAATGAATGCAGTGTATTGTATAAATGTGTCTAATAAGGACAAAAAAAACATCATCAAAATCTTGACTTATATTGAAAAAACAATTATTATAAATTATTTGTATAGAATACAATTGAGTGATGAAATTTTGTTTGTAATGAATTACATCATAGAAGGAATTATACATATAGACACACAAAGATATTTTTTATTACCATTTATAAGTGATATTTAAGGGTTTTGCACATGTATTAAAAATTTAGATAATTTATTTTTTCATACTAAAACATCTTTTTTATTTAAAAATAACTTAACCAATTATAAAATATTTGCAGAATAAAAATAGTCAGAAATAATTAGTTTTATATTGAAAGTTGAAAACATTATTTATTTGAAATATAAAAAAATCTAAAGAACGGAAACAGTATTTCTTTTGCAAGCCAAAAAAAATTGTGGTTGGTGTAAAACACTAAAACCAGCCAATACCTCGCTAATTTTTTTTGTGTCATCTACTCCTGCACTTTAATTCAATTAATAAAATCGGGCATTTAGGGGATTTAATTTAATTAATAAACCAACTAAAACGCTATAAATTCATCAATGCGCTGTTTTTTCCGAGAATTATAGAAATTTGGATAACCCGCTACTTCTTCTTAGATGTGACACCTTATTAAGAAATATTTTAGATAGTAACTATTTTAAAAAGGGGTATATTCCCATACTTTTTATGGCCATGTTCATAAGTAATCTATATAAAAAATTATTTTAAAGGGAAGAAGACATAAGAAGAGTATGAAAAAGCTTATTTTTCTTGCTTTTAGGTTAAGGACAGTGATTCGTTGAAATAAAAAAGTCTTAGGAAAAAAAACGAAGAGGGAAATCTTCAAGGCAAAGTTTTACTTTCCCCATGAAAGAAAACAAACTCTCTCCTCAGTTTTCTTCTTTGCTCTTACTGCTACTGCCCTTCACTGCCATTTCTGGCAAAGAAAAGATAACTGAGAAACTATTAGATAGAGAGAGACTACAAGGAACCCATCAAATCATATTTATATTGCCAAACTCGATTTCATTTAAAATCTTTCATTTTATACATCCACTAGAACCTGGGCACTTTATTTATTTGTTTCGGATTTTATTACGATATGTTGGATGTAGCCCAAAAAAAAAAAGTTGTCGGCGTCTTCACGTAATATTTTGAAATCGTAGTATAAATAGCGTAACTACAACCCTAATAATGTGCTTGTGCCGAGTTTTCCACTATCTGTAATCAGATGTTCATTATGAGAGATTACAACATAGCAGTTTGATATAGTTTTCTTATTAGCAATATATTTTCTTAAATCAAATTTCAACCGATAAATAATGGTTATGTGGAATAATTTTTATCTACTCTATCTAACTTACATAAAAGAATACAAATCTTTGTGGAATAAAAACTATTCTAAAGTTTTCAACCAATTAATTGTTATTTGTTAAGGAAAAAATTTTAAATTAAGGTTAGTGAGTTTACCGGGTTCAGAACTATTTCTACCAAATCAGAATAACTTGTGATGATTTGAATCATAAAAATACATTTTTTTCTTTGATATAGGGTTTGTTAGTTTGCTTACCACAAAAAACTGCAGATGATCATTGTTAATTTGCCTGATGCAGTCTTCTGCAGCAAGATGTGGCATCTAATCGCTTTGTCCCACAATTCTAATTTTTAGTCGTTGAAAAAATTCAACATCGCGAGAAATCACAGAAACCAGATGCACGATTGATAAACGAACAATAACCAGCTGCGCAACTGGTTGCAGCATCTGACTGCAAATCGCAGTTACAACCGAAGGCGGCCAACAAATACACAAGACCCATAACATAGTATAAATAATTTTTTCATCATAACATAGAAGGTTGAGAGATTTTTGATATAATTTGATAGCATGTTTTTATCAGTTTAGATATAACATTTATAAAGTAAAAAAGAAAATCAAATAACTTTATATATGTGGAAATTTGCAAAGCTACACTCATATTAACATAAGATTATTATTTGTATGTTACTTTTTATATTATTGACGATAGCCCTCTATATTTTTTTATAATAGGACAAATAATCCGACAGCGGTAGAAATTAGAGAGAATGAAAAGACATCATTACTAAAAAGCGATTTTGGATGTATCACTACAACGTGATACTAAAATTCTTGAAATATTTACATAAATGTAAGTACTTCTATTAAACTATTTGAACCCTACAATTACTAACATTTGTAACAATTTAAACCCTTCAATTACTAACATTAACATACTACAAACTGAAAAGAAAAACATGAAGTGCGAAATATAATATTTAAGGGATCACGTATTGGCATACCAATATATTGATTTTATGCCGTTGATATAACGATCTAAAATATGACTGCTTA